TTCAAAGTGCGTAAAGCTGCTGTAAAATACACTGCTTGCTCAGTAGTTGATGGACCTACACACTCCTTAATTTCCTTTCCCTTTTATATATTTCACAACCGAATTGGATGAGTTTCGTGACAATGGATCTCCTGCTATGAATCTCCTGCTATTCGTCACAACCCAATAATGAAATCATCCAGTTCTCACGATGTCGATGGTTTTCCAATGCACCTTAAATTTACAAACTACTCGTTAGTCTTCCGGTTCTAATTGATATATTAAGATATGACAGATGACAAAAGAGGCCATTTTAAGAATCTTTGATGTCAAGCCTCATTAATGATAATGTCTGAGTCAAAAACAAATGCCAACTGTAAGACAAAGTTGAGTAAACAAAATTTAAATGACAACAGCAAGAAATTACTCGACAAGGATCAGATCACTCACAGAGTTTTTTAATAATGGCTTTACTGAGATGATTGTTTCTATCCTTTTGTACTTACATTCCTTGTTCCCAGAAAAGCCACACCGATAGCTCAGTAACAAGTCATATCAAAGCATACACAACAAAGCTAGCCATATTCGTTGAGATCTGAAGTATTCGTTGCAGTTTATTTTGTGATCTTCAAACATAAAACGCAAATACAGACAACCAGAAAAAGGCCTTTTGGCAAACATGACAAAGTCGCCCTTAATACTGCTGTAAAGAAAATGTTTGCTTGCGAAGGGGAATATTATTTCTTAGTGCTCTTGGTGAACCCCGAAATTTACTCAAAGCCTAGGCTTTTAGCTCCTGGATTGTGTCAAATGATCCGCGTTTAAATCTGGGAATAAAGCTGTGCTTATCAAAAGCTGATTTCAAATGGATACATGCGGGGATGGAAATGAGATTTTACACACAAGATGCATGTGGAACTTTATGTAAATATGTTCAAACGATTCTAAAATCCACTGGCTACTTAACACAAACCACTGAATTACTGCATATTTTTTTCTTAAAAATACTCTTTAGCAGTTAATCAAATCTATTCTAATTGATGAGAGCATGTCTTTATCTCTAAAATGCCCGGACAAAAAGTACTTCAGCAAAAACTGATCTTGACTTGAAAAAAAAAAATTAAAGAGATTAACAATTTTGAAACGAGTAAAAGTAGTATTTTTAAAGTTCGTCCAGTAACAAACTTTTTCTTGACGGATTGCACGATGCAGAACTAATCATTTTGATTGAGGTATTTTTTCTAGCTGAATATATTGTTGAACGTACACACATGAACGGAGCATAAAAAGGTATTGGATGGGGGGGGAGGGCTTATTACCAAATTCGTCGTTTTTGAGGGTGAGGGGAAAGATTTTTTTACACCTGTAAAGAACTCCAACCTCCTATTCCTCAAGTGTTTACCTTATTCCATATCGTAGACAGAGCAAAAAGGTTAAAGTTGTTCTGACTAAAGCGAACTGAACTACATGAAGTCAAAATCAAAAGGGAAAAATCACCAAACATTAAACCATCGCTGCCTCACTGAAAGCCTGAGTTTGTAAAACTAAAACCGGTTTTCTCTTCTAAAGAACTATCCAAAATTTCATAAATCGGCTCATCGGCAACGTCGTTTGTAGCATCCTTTTTGAAGTCCTTAATGTCGTCGTAAAATTCTCCAGGATTATCTTCACTGAATGCAACCTTCCCTAGCCCTTCTGCCAATGAGTATTCGTTATCCTTTGCTTGCTTTCGCGGCTTCTGCTCGGCGAATCCGTAAATTGGATTGTCAAGACGGTCAAACACTGGATTCTCAAATTGCGCCGTCCTTGCTGGTTCTATGCTAGGTTTTGAATCATTCCTTCTTACTCTCCGCCTCTTACAGATGACGACCGTAAGTATGGGACCTACCACTGAATAAAACACAGCAAGAGTCACAATCGAAACGAAAGGAAAATGAGTTGATCGTGCATCAAAGTTCACCAAAAAAGTAAAGGATTGACACAAGAAACTCGCGATTCAGCTTTGAAAAATCATTCTGCTGAGTAGAAGATTAAATAATGAGACACTATTTTCTCTTGGCTGAGTATCACTGATTTTAAAACAGATGGTGAGATTTTAACAACATTAGTACACGTTTCGGTTTTTCTGAGCTTCGGATGTTTCCGGTTTCTTTCATGCAGAAACGTCGAATGAATTAGAAAACTCAAGGTGCGCTTTTTATTAATTGAAAACTTGCTTGGCGTGTTCCTGGTGAATTATCCAAATATCAGTTGAAAAGAGGATAAGAAACGTTTATGATTGTACTTGGCCTACCTAGCGCTACGAGTAATGGAACAATGATGACGGGAAGTTTCCAGGAAGACTCCTGAGAATTTTCCTGTTCTTTTGCCTCTCCTGGAGTCTTAGTTGTTAGCTGTTCATTGGTACCTGTCTGATAAGAGAAATGAGAGCCATTGGAAGAGAATTGAAGCCAATTGGCTATTACCAGTGGCGCGACAAACAGCTACAAAGGACTTGTTACATTCAAGCAGCCACCAAATTAGCCTCTCCTTGTAAGCCAGCTCACCTTACTAAAGTTTCAACATCTCAGCAAGTAACTTGCTACATAAAAAATTTGTTTACGATTTTCTTGTCCTGTTACGAGTTCAAAAATAAGAAAATCCACCTACCTCCATTTCAACATTTCGCGATGTTACCAATGGTGTAGAAGAAGTTGTTTTGTCTTCAGTAACTGGTTTTTGAATCTCTGTCATGTTCAAAGTAAAAATACACACTCAGTTCACAGTCTTATTAACGTTAAAATTTTTAATGATTTGACCGACAAAGGAGGATTGCATTAGAGTCTGGAAACTAGTCGTAAATGTTCAGTAGCAGACAGCGAAAGCCCACCTTCACACTGCGATTTACTGACAGTTCCTGGTGAGACTGTGGTGAGACCTTGTCCACAGGGAAGGCAATCTATCTGACCATCAGAGGGCTGGTAAGAACCAAGCGGACAAAGAGCGCATGTCCGGTTCACAAAGCTGTACGAGCCAGCAGGACAGTTTGCTGAATAAGGAGTAATTAAACAATTCTTTACTATAAGTTGTACAATTTTCACAGTTCACTGAGGACTCGGAACAGTCAACAAAACATAGACGAAAAAATTATCGAAGTTCCTGCATAACTGGGAAAACAATACCTCCCTTCCTCCTATGATCTCTCGACGTTTCCTGTGCCGAACAGGCCCAGTTCTTGGAGTAATTTTTAACATAAATGTCGAACTAATGAGAATGGCTTAGGGTTCGCGTTACCACGCTTTAAGATATATCTATAAAACCTGCGCCTCCTTTGAACCAATCAAATCCAAAACCAATTGTGATTTGATCTTTTGCATTTTTCCGCATTTTTCCTACACAAAACCAAGATAGGAGTCAATCCTCTCTTGTCAAAATATATTAACAAAGAAAAAAAGTTTTGTCATATAAGAAAAGTTTGTATGTGCCAGCCAGTTTGCTCATGTTTTGTGGCCTGAAATTATAGCTTCGATCAGCTCACCATTTAAACATAAAATATGTCGAACGTGAACTTACCAATACAGTGTATTTCTTGCACAGTTCCATTGGTAACTGTCGTCAGGTTTTTGCCGCAAGAAAGACAAGCTGGCTTTCCTCGGGATGGTTGGTACATGCCAAGCGGACAGAGAGAGCACGTTCTGTTCTTTGTGCTGTATGAACCAGCTGGACAATCAGCTGAGGGGTCACCAGATCGAGCAAAAAAAGTTTCATTTGAGTCAAACTTAAAATTTACAAGTTCACTTCTAGAGTTGAGCTCAGAATCTTATTTTATCGTCTTGTTGGAAAGGAGGCAAACGAAGTATAAAGGGAATGAGATAGAAAACGGGCTGAGGCATAATGACTTATTTTTGTTGAAAAAAACAACTGGAGATAATTGGAACTTATTCATGAAATTGATATCACAAATAACTTTTTAATAACCTCTAAAGGTTAATTTGGACTTTTTTACTAAATTTTTGTATTCCTCCTTCATCTCTCTTGTAAGCTTCTGAAAATTCATTGATGTCCGAGGATAAAACCGAGCTAAAAAGTCTACATTAACATTACCAATACAGTCTGATTCTTCCACTGTTCCATTGAAGGCTGTGGTGAGGTTTGTGCCGCAGGAAATACATCTTGTTTGTCCTTGCACAGGTTGGTAAGTTCCAAGCGGACATTCTGTGCATGTTTCATCCTCCTCCGCATATGATGAGCCGGCAGGACAGTTTGCTAACGAGAAGAATACACTGCATGATAAGAAAGCTGATAAAAAACTTCAGAAAACCTTGTTTAGTAAGCTAAGAGGTGCAAGCAGGGACATCAAATGGAACTAAAGCCTTCAAAAAGTACATAAGAGAGGCTTTTTACAAAGGTTAGTTAGGTATAAGTTCAAATACTATTGAACTCAGAATGTAACCAGTGTGTAGACAAGTCGTGAAGGACTTCATCATGTCCGTCAACGTTGGCTATTAATGTTTGCAGTTATAGACAGGGCTGTAATGTTTGGGATTAGGTATTGGCAGAACTCTTTCCTTAGCTAACTTTCCTAGCCAATAATAAATGCTTTCAAGTTGACATTATACTTACCACAAATGTAGCCATTTTCATGGAGGGCCTGTCCATCGGGACATTTCGGAGAGAGAGGGTAAGCAAGAAGGCTTCCTGGGTCTCCATAGACAACGGAGTTGTTCCAAGGTATCTCAAAAGTCTTGTTCATTATACTAGAATTGAACTGTTCCACTTTCTCAATCAGATTGGCGCTAACTTCAGCGATGGCTCCAACTATTTGTATGTGCCGGGTAAAGTTGGATTGTTTCCAAGCCTCTTTATCGATATCGAGTATGAATGCAATGGTGGCGGTGTAGTTATTTCTTGAGCCATACTCAAACTCAGATATCAGCTCCACGGACACGTTAAGTGATCTTGCAAGGGAAAAAAGAATGTCATCAGTCATGGTCTCGTTTTCTGATGACGACAATGCTTCGATGAAGCTGGAATTGCATGACGAAGCTTCGTGTACAGAACTGTTGGAGGAATTTAATGCCTGCCAGCACGGAAGTGAGATATTCAGGGCGAAAAGGAGCCTTGGAAGACCCACAGAGTAGCCTAGTACGTCAAGCCGAGCCTTCTGACTGATTGCCACACCATGATCGTTGGATGCCTCACAGTAGTAATAACCCTCTTGATGTTGGCGAGGTCCAGTCATGTGTAACACGGGTCTGGTCTCGTTTACTTTGGTAAAAGACGAATTGATAGATACAAAGAACCATTCAAAAGTAGGCGCTGGTTGGCCCGTTGCGTTGCAAACGAATGTTGCTGGCATTTCACTGTCAACGACTACTCTTTGTGGCTGTGGATGTAGAGTGATGCTGGGCTTGTTATGAACTTTGATGATCGTGACATTAGACAATGAACTGCCTTTATTGTTTGAAGCGACGCAAACATAAGCACCTTCGTGTTGTTCGCTAATAGCGCTTACATTGAAAGTTCCATCCAGTGATTCCTCAACGAGTTTATCATTCCTCATCCAAGCATACTTTATGTCAGCTTCACTTTCAGCAATGCAACGAAGCAATAAACTTTCTCCGGTCAGAATGATAATTTCCTTTTGAGGTGAAGAGGTAATGTAAGGTGTCCCCCCACACAGAACGGAATGATCGCGGGTTTCATTCAGCAACAAAACAGCTTGTTGGAGTGCTTTTTCAGTTTCTGGCATTGTTAACACTTCAGACGTTAATGCCATAATCATATCTTTCAGCTTAGGAAGTGCGTCTTTTATCTTTAGTGCCCGTGGACTTCTTTCAAACTCGTAAAATTCCCTTAACCCTTCAAAAAAGTATTCGATACAGTCAATGGCACCGGCGCATTCTTGGAATCCGCTATTATGTGTAAATACCTCAAGGAATGCCCTCCAAGCCTCAAACGTTTCATTCCAAGATTGCGAAGAGTCATTTCTAACCTGGATGCTCTCATTTCTAAGGAGTTCTATCATCTCCAAGTAGTCGGTCACGAACGAACTGTTTGAACTAATTGAGGAACTGTTGGAAATATTGGAATTACTTGAACCACCACCAACAGTGTGTGTCAGCCTGTCAAGGTCTTGGAATCCGGAAGAGAGCTCTTCATCCAGTCCTTTAGCAGCTGAAATAAGGTTATCCAGTGAGTGAAGAATGGAGCTCAGGAACAAATGTGTGGAATTGACAAACTGGCATGCATGAGGGTAATCAGTGAAGCTGATATGGAAACCATTTATATTTGAGGAATTTCCAAACTGACTCTGTTCATCTGGAGCTACTCGCTTCTTTCTGGAGGATGTACCACCAAACAGCTTGCTAAGGATCGTCTTGGAGGCAGAACTGATTGAACGTTCGACTTGATCAAAGTCAACTATAAAAGAGACCAACGTTGATTTACTATTGGCAGAGTTAACGTTGCATTGAAAAAGGATCTTTTTCGCGTCTTCTGATGCCGTGGTCAGAGAGAATTTAAGGTCTCCAACATCTACAGTTTTATTACCATACGAATTAGTGGCGTTCATTGCTTGGGATATTTTCAATCCAAAGTAGACTACGCGGCGAACATGAAGCATGGAAGCATTGACAATTTCTACCGCTGATAGGCTCTGCTCCGTGTAAGATTTTACTTTTTGCAGCGTGTTAAGTGCCGCCTCATGACGAATTCTGGCTTTCTCGTAAACAGCTGTAGCCTTTTTAAAATTGTCAACGGATTCCCTAAGATTCAGAAAGGCATATTGAAAAGTTTCATTCAAGGCATCAAGCGTGAATTTAAGCTCAGTCATATATATCAGGCATTCTTCGTTGTGTTTGATACAAAGAGGATCGATGACTTTGCTCTGGCAGCCATATCTCTTGCAGCAGGGGTATGGAGGACCGAATCCACCGGGTTTAGTTTTCTCTTCGTGGCCTGAGCACTCAATTTCCTTGATCATCTTTACTACAGCTTTCACCTCGAAACTTTTCTGTTCGTACTCAACAAGCCGCGGTTCACCAAGAACTGTCTCGTAAGTGTCAGAACAGCCAAATATTTTCTTGCTGAAATATCCAACAACACCTCCACCAATCGCACCGACCAATGTTCCAATAACCTTTCCGACTTTTGTTCCTACGGGTCCAAACGCACTCCCAATAATCCCACCAACAAATTTTCCAACCTGAGCTCCCTTCTTAGCATAATTCATTATTTTTTTGAAGGAGACCCCTGATCTACAGTTTCCAGTATACACAGTATGATACGTCTGCACAGCGAAACTACGTTTTTTAGTGCTGCTTTCCACAACTTTGACTGTCATTGGTTTGTCAACCGTGTCACAGTATCGCTCAAGATAAGTTATGTTTATCGGGTCCTTGCAGAAGTTAGGTTGAACACAACCTTTCAAACAAGTGTAGTTGCACTCTCTTATTTCACACACCGGATTTAGAATATGTCGTTGAAGGTAGACCGTGTTGTTGAAACGCACTTTTGCCAATTGATATTGTAGACGTGCCACACGAAGATCCTCTGCAGCGTTTTCCTTTTCTCGTCTCAGCTGTTCGGTGATCGTCTGTTTTTCTTTTAGAACTTTCCTGGCTGCATCTGCCTTCATCTTTGCATCACTGAAGGCCGCCTTCGCCTTCCCCAACCTTCTGTGTGCCTCTTTGGCTGCAAGGGTGGTCTCGTTGGCAATCTTTCTTTCTAGCATCATATGAAAACCTGATGACTTGTTCATGGTGCCCTTCACTCCAAACAGTAGGGAGTTCCAGTCCGCTACGTTCTTAAACTCAGCTGTAACATTCAATAGCGTCTCGAATGTTCCAAAAATGGGTCCCGACATGGAAAAGAAGAGCTTATGTCCAACCATTCGTATGCTTGTGTTTTTGGTCAGTCCTAATAATTTAACGAAACACTCAAATGTTGTCTCGAGTGGCTCATTTTTACGGCTGATTAGCATTCTCAGTGGTCTTCGAGCAGGGAATGTTATTGCAGTACCAAGAGGTATGTCTCTCAAGGCAGTTCCTTCGACGATTACACTACTGTCTATACCAGAACTATTGGTTAAACAGTAATTGTCAGTCAGGGACCAAACATTACAGTTGATGTTGGTGAAACAGAGTCTTTTGTGACAAATCTGTGCTAAAAGGGCAAAACGAACACCAGCAAAGGATTGCCGAATGGACGACTGAGTGAATACCAGAGAGATGGTCTCTGGAAGGTCTGATTTAAGTCTGAGGAGGCGACTGATGGAATTTTCAATGTTTGAACGATTCCTGTACGGCTGTGACTTGGCTATAAGGAGACCAAGGACCCTCGGTATCTTGTCAAGATCGCTGTCAATCTCTGCGATCAGTTTTTTTAGTTGCAAGAGATCTGAAGAAGAAGAGAGGTAATTTCTAGCTTTGATGACCTTAACGAGTGTCTCTTCTAAAAAGCCAGTCCACTTTTGTGTTGTTTCTTGCAATTCAGGAACAAATATCTGAACATCTAAAAAGACCCTCTTTATGTCTTGCGTCTGATACTCCAGAGATCTCAAGTTATTGTTAGGATCCAATGCTGCGATATCTTCTCCACCATTAATAGAGTAGTAGATTTGCAAATATTTGATGCCTCCATTGGGTCTAATGATTGTTGAAAGAATGCTATTTTTGAAAGGTTTGCTTTCTCGATCCAGGGTGAGGGTGAATCCTTGCGGAGGGTGGCATTCTGATGAGCGAAGGGGTGGTCCTGTCAAGGAGGCTACTGTTAGTAAAGCAAATACAATGTACTAGCAACAAACCATCAAGATCATTAACAAGGCAAAAGCTGAACCAGTCGAAACCGAAGCAAAATGATATTGAATAAAAGCATCGTCTATATCATTACCTCCAAGTTGTGACTTTGCCACCACACTGTTGGCGTGAAACGTCAGATAAAACTTCTCGCCAAGGGCTTGTAGGTGAAAAGTAAACTCAACTGATCCATGGAATATACTCTTGATTGGCTGAGAAAAGTACCTGGTGAGTAACTAAAAGACACATAAAGACTAAAGATCAAAGTATAATTCTTACGACAACATTGCAGCCCTAAGATAAAGTTGAAATCTCCATGCAGCTATTTTAGAACCTCATGTGATCTCCGATATGATTCTTCCGACGCCCACCGAGATTTATTACTGAGTAGCTCTCCAAAATCAAAGCTACGTATGGGTTTCCTTGGTCTCCAGGCTGTTTGGGTTTTGGTAACCTTAATATGAAATTGACTCTCTCGCCTATTTTGTGCTAGTTACAAGACAAGACTTTCTACTCACGCTGTTCAAATCCTCTACAAATGAGAAAACTTGGCCAGTCATTTTCATGTTGATTGTAAAATCACTTGTATTTTTCAGGGTAATTTTCGTAATTCCTTTCCACAACATATTATAATGAAAATCTGAAAAGAGTTCAGCCATTGGATCTGTAGGCAAAGAGTTCGTTAAGCTTTGGTATTTTTTCGGAGCGGTGAAACCAAAAGATGTTAACACGACATCCCAGCCATAATCAGTCAAGCCCTTCAAAACGAGCATTTTGCTAATTTCTTTAGCAGCCTTTTCGGATAACGTCAGGAACACTGCTTTACCACACGTGTCGGTTGCAAAGCAACAACCTTTGCTGGGCAAGGAAATCTGTTTGCCTCCAGGGGAAATAGTAAAAGTGACTTTCGGACGATATATGACCATTGCAGTGGGGACATTAAGAGGAGGAAACTTGCAATTCAGGTAAGTATTCTGCGTGCCGGCGATTTGAATGAGGTCAGCTCGAATGTTTTCTGTTGCAAATAGAGTGTTGTCGTCTTTAACCATGAGTCGTATCCCTAATGGTAGCTGGTTTGTCAAGTATCGCATGAAAGACTTTGGAAAAGCGTCTTCTTGTATTAACTCAATCAAAGCTTCTGCTGTTGGTTTAAAGGAACACATTTTGTCCGATGTTTGGCCTGCCGAGCTCGTTTTGGTAATGCTTGTCTGGGTGATAAGTGCTTTCAGCACCTCCGATTTTTTACCTGATTGATTAGATCAGTCGAAATTGTATCCCACAAGACTCAGGGGAATTTTTTTGTTGTTGTCTGTAAAGATGTGAACAGGCCCTGACTCGACGAGAACATCATTCGACAGGGTCGAGGAGGAGTTGTAGGCTATTTTTAACCCGCATGGGAAGTTTTCTAGGCTCTTTGTTTGGCATCCGATTGGTACCTCGCCATTCAAAAGACCCAGTTTGGTGTAAATGCTGTTTGCATTTGATATATTGAGACCAACAAAGACTGAGCTATCCTTGGGAGAAACAAAACTATGCTTGTCTATCCCACTGAGGTCATATGACACTATACCAACTCCAGACTCGTGTCCAATCACCTCAAACTCTGCTTGATCTGATGGATAGTGAATCTTGACTCTCTTCGGATGGAAGGTCATGTTCAGGGTTGCATCGAAGAAAACAGTCAATACATTGTCAGGTTTCGCAAGTAATGAAAGATCTTCCGAAGGTCTTCCAGGAATTAGTTTTGGGAAATCAGGAGGTGTAACAACACCTCGGTCACAGAGGTCCCCTTCATATCCAGTATCCTGACAATCACATGAAAATTTTTGTGAATCGATAAGAATGCATTTTCCGCCATGCCGACAAGGATTGGGCTTGCAAAGTATTATCTCTAAATAGAATTAAAGCAGAAATAAGTTAAAACAGTTAGCAAATTGGTCCAAGAACAAATCACTGATCATTTCTAGTGCACGGAGGAATGACATCTTCAGGGCAAGATCTCCTTTAAATGTAAAATTCAAAGCCCAGTTCAGTTTAAAGGTTGGATAACGCTATCCAACGGATAACTATATCCAATGGATAATTGTTGATGAAACGTACTGCACCATCCACTGGCATAGGCGTTTAAGAATGAGTTGATCAAGTAAACTCTTTAATTATATAAAAAGGGTAGGTTTCTATGGAAACTGCGGTGTTGCGTTGGGAAGTATTGCTTGAGGTACTGCAAGATAATTTGGTTGAATGAACTGATCTCATAATGCAAATTGGCTACCGTATTCTCTCCCGAAGAGCGAACGCTCGAAACGTCACCTATAGAAACTCCTTACGGTAGCCAATTTATATTATAAAACTAATGATACAACTAATTTTCTTTTAATATGTATAGTGCAATGATCCCTCTGAGCAAGCTTTTGCTACGATAGGAATTCCCCAGTCAATGTCCATTTCCTCGTGACAACTCATACCTTCACAGGTAAAGTTTCCTAAGTCCCATACTACGTCGCTGGAATTACTCAGCCGGCAAGTTGCAATGTTGCTCTCAAAGGCAACGTATCCTTCCATACAGTCAAGTGTGCAGGTAGAACCAAACGTCACGTCACATGGTAGTAAAACTATGCCTTTCTCTGGTGGATGTAGTCGACCACAACTTTTCACTATGTTGAATTATGGAAGTAACAATAACGCGAGTATTAATGAAATGATAAGTAGAAACATCCAAATGATGCAGGCGATGGCTTGCTTAGCTGGCAATCCTCCCACATGAAAGGTATTTCTATTGTTGGAAGTAGCCGTGAAACAGAAGATCAAAAACAAAAAGATTTTCCAGAGGAAGAAGCAGAAATGTTGTAGAATAGATATCGTAGAGAGAAATGTGACAGGAAAAGGGAGAAGGAAAAGTGAGAAGTTTGAGAAGCTACTAACTATTAAATTGTCATTGTTGCTACCTTTGCAAGACGTTTGCTGTCCATCCCACTTTGAAGAATTGAGGCAAGTTCTCTTTTCCGAACCTTGTATTTCATATCCATCCTCGCACGTTAACCAGCAGGTTTCATTTGTAACAAATCCGCTGCAGGTCATATGACCATGAGGTGGGGCGATGATGTCCTCACAAGGAAGTCCTAAATAAGGGCGAGGAAAAATATTTTAAAGCTCAGTAATTACAGATGTCTACATATCCTAGAGGCCTTATTATTTCGTACCTACAGCTCAATAACACTGTTTTGAGGTCTCGCAATCCGTGATAGACCCTGAAAACAACCGTCCTCGAGCTGAATTTGATCTAAGGTAGTATTTGTATTGCATAACCTACCTTCACAGGTTTGCATGTCGGCCCTTTGTCTGTATCCATAGAAACATGAGCAGCCATAAGAGCCAGGCGTGTTGTGGCACTTGTGTTCACAAGAGTGGACTCCTGTGTTACATTCATTTACATCTGTGAGGTAAAACAAAAATGATCAGCGATCTGTAACTGTGCAGAACCCGATCCATACACGACTTTTCTTTAGCAGAGAGAACTGGTGGGTTGGTCGATAGGTAGATAACTTATTTACACATAGTCAGGTCTGTGAGATAGATACTAGAGTCTCAAAAGTTATATACAGTCATCCTAGACGACAATTGTATTCTTTAGGACGATTACAAATGAAATGAAGTTTTTTTTTGTTCCGCAGTGTTGCAAAAGGATTGTAGGGCACTCTTACCTCTGCACCGCTTTCCATCGTATAGAAGCTGATATCCCTGGTCACAGCTACAAGTGTAATTTCCTGGGGTATTATGACAGATTTGATCACATCCTGCTGGGATGACCGTTTTGTTGAGGCTCTCTACATGAACAGGGGCGCATTCGTTCACATCTAAAAAAAAAGTTCCATGATGATCGGGGAAATGAATTTCATTCCAAAAGGGGTACGTGGATAGTGTGAACAACAAGTTAAGTGAAAAACTATCAGTCATTTTCTTAAAGCAGTAACTGTGAGAAAGGTAATGGAAAGAAGTTCTTCTCATGACTAACGAGGCCGTGGTTAAGAGACGATGTGACTCCTTACCTGAACAAGTCCTGTTATCTTCTTTGAGTTCATATCCCGAGTTGCAAGAGCAGTAGTAGCTTCCAAGGTAATTGTTACACTTTTGCTGGCAGCCGTGATGACTCAGCAAACATTCATCGTGATCTGTAACATAACCAAGTAAGCGGTTTCTTCGTATACCGTTTTAATAAGAAGCAGTCAACCCAACGCCTGTACAAGCTTGATGTAAGAGTGCTTTATCAAAATGGGGAATTTGTCCTAAGGTATTTCACAAGGATGTAAACGAAGCTGGATATGACAGAACGAACAAAAAGTTGCCTGTGCTCCTCCCCTGTCTCAAATAAAGTTGCAGCCGTGTTCACCAGGAGTAACATACCTGAGCAAGATCTTCCATTTGAATCCAAGAAGAACCCAGCAGGGCATTCACAGCGATAAGATCCCGCAGTATTCACGCACTGATGGGTGCACAAACCATTACTTGATAGACATTCGTCAATATCTGGCAACAGATAGTAATATTGCTGTCAGCCTTACAACAGTGGTGCCGCACAGTGAGAAACATAGAGGTGTAAACAAAGCATGATTTATTAGCTGGCTGGCAAGTTGCTGTTCTGATCACTTTCAAGCTGGCCTAACCCTAAAGTTTTTGCTCACTATTTCCTGAAAAACACGTACTTAGTAAGTTATCTCACCTTCACAGTAAGTACCACTGTTCCCGCTAATGAGGTTAAAGCCATTAAAGCATCCGCATGAGAACTTTCCGGGTTGATTATGGCATGTTTGTGGGCATCCTCCATTGGCCGTTAAACATTCGTTGACATCTTAAAGACAAACACATGTAATCTATATTGGTATCACACAGACTCAAGGTACTGTCATTAAACTGATTTCCGCTCACAACCTAATCAAGTCTTTTCGATTCTCTTCCACCTGAAAGATCAGTAACAGTTTTCTTTAAACATTACCATCGCAGATGGTTCCACCACTTCGGAGCTGAAAACCTGGTGCACAGGTACACTTGTAGCTAGGGACGAGGTTGACGCAGTTTGCACCACATGGTTCCCCTGGAACGCCACAACTGCAAGGTCTTGGTATTAATGTTTGACATTCGTCAATGTCTGAAATTGAGACACAGGTGATGAAAACGGACAGATAACTTGTAAGTATGTAAAGGATGGAGTATGTGCGTTCGAGATAGTTTTGTTTTAAAACTGAGTCATTGCTAGTTGATGCTTTGTCTCTTTCTCGTTCACGAAATCTCTGTAATCAAATGCTACCTTTAATCACATTTGAAAACTGCGTAGAACTTTGATATTTGCAAAAGTCTCAATTATGTCAGAGAACCAGAAACTTCTCCTGAAGTGGTGACAAAAAACTATGAAATCTTGTAGAGGACATGTGGTGGTTTCAAAAGGCCACTTAGACCCTGTGTTTCTCATTAAGCGAAAGCCAACAACAGCAATCCTCTTCAAAACACTTTTAAAACGCGATACCTAGCGGATATGTCAAAATTGAACACCTCTGAATGTCATGATAAAGATCATACCTCTACAGCTGTGGCCATGCTGGGTGTATCCAATACTGCAGCTGCACTGATATGAGCCGGGAACATTTACTCAATGTTGGTCACATCCATCATTATTTGTTGCACATTCATCGAAGTCTACGCATAAACATATAAGAAATATGTTACTCATATGGGCATAGGATGAAAGGTCCGTTGAAGAGACTATAATTAGTTCTATATCAATCCAATTCTCTGAGATCGAAGGATCAAGGAAAAAGCAATCATACGTCACAAATTTGTTCACGTGATATTATGTATTATTATGTATACTATGATATTATGTATTATTATAAATAGAATTTCCATTTATGAATTACTTATTTATTTAGGTCATAATTGATACCTTTTTTGTAATTATTATCATCTTATTGCAATTATTATTTTTAAAATCCTTGTGATACGAAAGTGTTAAGGATAATAAATGTAGATGGAGTAGATGTAGACGTGCACTCCTAAACGGTGTCTATACTCATTCAAGAACTGCCCGAGTTATCGCATGAATATGAACTATCCATAGATTAAATAGGGAGGGGGTATTTCTATAGAAACTATAGTGCTGCATTGGTTTTATCAACTGAAATCAAATTAAATTGGCCGCCCTGAAGAATTTCTAAAGCTCTATTAATAACTTAACTACCGAAAAGCCCTACCTTGGGTCTTAGTCTCCGTCTTAGAACTAATGAAAACTAGTTGGAGTACATTATGGTTTATCGTAACGATATTCGCCCGCGATGATGATGTAAGAGATGACGGAGAAGACGTCGATAACAACAGAACACGTTATGTTATAGAAAGACAGTGTACCTTCGCTACAGGTAGACCCAGTCCATCCCGTAGAACATTGGCACCTGTTGGGTGCGACACAAGACCCGTGATTGGAATTACAGCCTTGAGAGCAGATAGCTAAAAAGGTGTAAAAGAACATTTCATCCAATAAATTTTGATGTAACATTATCACGAACTGGTTTGAATGTCCATTAGGCGAATAAGGAATATGTGTCATGTAATGTACCTTTCTTGCATTCCCTTGAGCTTGAATAGCTTTTCTTCCATCCACTGCAGCAGTAAATTATTTTGACATTGACATTTCTGGTCCTTTGGACAACGTAGTACACTGTTCTTGGTCTGGAAGATTGAGTCATGTATCCAGTGAATTTCAAGAATTACCCAGGTTCATTCGCTCCGACGAAGGGCTAACGCTCGAAACGTCAGCTTTTGCAATCGTTACGGTGGCCAATTTACCATTTCAACTTCGTCGATATATCCAAATTATTTCGTTACCCCCACCGACGCAGCCCCAAACAGTTTCTTTAGAAACTATCAGCCTTTATTCAAGTGAAAAAGGTTGAATACTTTTATTTTAATAATAAATTACATTAGATCTTAAGTAAAACTGAATAATATATTAACAAGTGGACTTAAAGGAATAGATCAAGGCTGATAGTTTCTAAAGAAACTATTTGGGGCTGCGTCGGTGGGGTAACGAAATAATTTGGATATATCAACAAAGTTGAAATGGTAAATTGGCCACCGTAACGATTACAAAAGCTGACGTTTCGAGCGTTAGCCCTTCGTCATTCGCCCCGACGAATTTACCATTTCAGCTTTGTTGATATATTCAAATTAAAGGAATAGAAATGATACTAATCTCAACTGGCGAGAGGCAAAACGGTTAAAATGGATAAAAGGGAAGTGGAACTATTAAGATAAGTTAATTGTGGATAAGTGGCTTGGTCAAACTCGTACCCAGATCCTACTATGTTTAATGAAATGTCGGAACCTTGCCACCACCTGGTCGTGGAAAGTCTGGGTACGAAGCCGTGGCTGAGTTGATATGCAAATTTAAAAATGGCACCGTTCGCAGTCAAATTTTCAGCATATTTAAAGCAAGTGCTCGGAAAGTTAGGTTACGATCTGGAATCTCAATCCTCTTTTTTAGCGGAGATAAAAGCTTCTTAGTTTTGGGAGCATCTGCTTTTTTTATATATTTACTGACCTGCTTGCGTCACATCTGCCCCAACCAAACCATCCGCAACTGGTTGTTGTATGCGTGTAAGTTGTCCTTGATGCAACAGTGTAGTAAGCCTCAGTCTGCATTGTATACCTGGCACAGACGTTTTTCCTGCGAGATACAACAAAACAGTCACAAGTTTGTGCATCTCATGAGCGTTGAATCTGGATGCTTTTACTCAGAGAAAATGATGGGGTAATAATGTCATGGACGGACAAGCCCATGCGTGTGTTGACATGTATGACAAACTATTGAAAGTGAAACATATCCATCATCTTTGAGTGAGCTTTGGTTGCATGTGAGCAAGACAGAGGTGCTGGAGAACAGTAAGGAAATTGGTTCGTTCAATATCAAACTGACCTCGGCGATAAGAAACAACTCTGGCAGACCACAGTGCTTTGCGCCCCAGCTAAAAATAACTTAAATGTAATCGACGTATTCCGGTTTTTAACCTGATTCTCTGTCCTATTATTTTCTGTTGATTTCAAAACTGCAGAGAAATTCTGAATCTTAGATTTAAAAGAACTGGACAAGAAAATAGTCATTGCCTTTTAACTGCAATAAGTGTGAAGCCATGCAAATAACAAATGCAATGCAAATCGACAACGAATATAGCAAAACAAGGAAGAAGTCATCAGCTTTACCTCCAGGCATTGTCCTAGTTCTAAGGAAGTCTATTTTAAAGATTGATGAAAATGAAAGCGATTTGAAAACGCAAATATTCGGAAAGTAAGGATCTTTCAGGCTCAGTTGCCATTACAGAAAAATATTTCAGAATGCCAAAAAGTTGAAAATTTTCAAGATCATTTGGCTGAGGATGCATGAAGCTTGTGATATGCTTGGATGCTCTTTAATTAATTTAATAAAGTTTAATCAAAGTCTACTCAAATACTCTGTCTCCTCCCTCATAGAGATTCATTCTTAATTAACCCATGTACAATTTTTTTTTAAAGACACCTGGTGGAAGCCAAGTTTTTTCATAATGTTCCAGCTATTTTCAAGTCGCGAGAACATCTCTCAAAATAGTTTGCCTGGAGCTTTCTAATGTTGTGCTAAGTACTGAGAAAAAGCTCTAGAAAGAAGTATAAAGCTATTGCGGTCTCGATGAATTCCGGAAGTCTTGAAATTTTGTTTTGAAAGAGTTGTAATTAACTTTCATTCACGGAAGTCAAAAGCTGTTTCTTCTTCAAAGAGTATTCGATTTCCATCTTATTCCATAAAACATTAAGCTCGGTTTTTTTGCTCAATGTCAGGGTTTTAATTGACAGTTAAGTTATTCTCGGAATACATTTTCTCGGAAAGTGATATTCACTTTCTGAGAATCCTTGGTATTCAAACTGATGAAGAAGCTATTTTATCGATGAAACCAACAGATGTGTATTCCAAATAAGCTGCATTCAATCCTTCTTATCTAATACAGTCGAGCCTGAACAGACTCAAACTGGAGACGTTGTGAAAATGCAAATGCCAACAATTCTTGTGATCGCCAATTGCTCAGCATTAGCCTAGCCCCTAACCCTAAGCAATCTTAGTAGAATCGGCATCATAACACGTTCATAAACATTTCTGCCTTAAAAACAAAAATGGAAAAGAAATGATATATTTTAAGTTATGCTTTAAAGGGAAAGTACTGTCTAGAAAAAGTTTATGTCAGGTAGAAGACTTCTTCTTCAGGAGTTCGAAAATAACCGCCATTTTGTCCAGTTTGCTTTGTATTAGCGACAAGAGCGCTTTGAAGTTGCCCATTTTTCCAACTTTCGTGGTTAGTAACACGCCATCTTGGATGGTACGTCAGCTTTGACGTAGCACTAGTAAAACTTTGTTCGGCGCTTTGACCTTTGTGAAAACAATTTCTAATACTCCTTTTTTTTAAATCAGGTGAACTGTCTTGTGGTTTACTGTCAAAATACAAAGTAAAATTCAAAAGGAAAAGGTGTAAGCCTCCACGAGCTACCGAAATATTTAAGTGAAATATTAAAGAAAAGTTAGCCGGAAAAACAAAGACTTCCCGGCAACGAGATATACAGGCATGTAAGTTTTTCTCGGTGATCTTCGCTTCGAACAGAAACCTATGCTTATCTTTTCCATATTCAACATAAATTTCAGTTATTTATTCAATGAATTTTTTCAAACCATTTTATTGTAAGCGAATAAATTGAAGCTCGAAGTGGTGGTACAATGATGTGTGGTAAATTCTCAGTCGCCACCCTTGACCAAAGCCGATTTTCAACATCGCGCGCTTTTCCAAGTAGTGTATTAATATATCTTATCTTTCCTAAGTCTGTTATGAGTCCACGTGAGTCCACAGACGCTTTTGCGATTTCCTTCGTTATGCAGGCGCCCATATTTCACTAATTCATATCGATTGGACACGATCAAAATAACATGATAATATTTAATGTCTTCCAACCAGCTACTTAAGGTAATTATGCAGTGCTTATGCTTTCAAAAGAAATCGAATTATTCATTTTAGCTTCATTTATATTGAGGTAATAATTTCTAATGCAAATACTGCATGGCAGAGGCGACTTTTCTGGCGCCCGTCTGACACAAAATTGCTCTACTTCTCACAAGTCGCGACATTTCAAACACTTTAGAAGCAAAAATATCGCGTAGAAGCTCATTCTAAGCAATAAAGAGAAAAACACCATTGCAAATTAAAGGTAAATGCTGAAACAAACCAAATCAGTTTAACACGCAACAATTAACTTCTGCCTTTTGTCTGCGTTAATTTTGGCAAACTAAATGTTTCTACAGTCACGGCAATCAATTTTGTCGGTGTTTACGCATACGAAGAATTATCTTCAAGTCTATCATTTCTAACTTGTTACATGGCAACTGGGGCTGTTCTCAGTTCCAAATGGCTCTTGTTCAGTAATACAACGTAGATGGGTTCCTGTAACTGCAAAGGTAATTCTTTTCATTCCGAGGTAGCAATGTGAAATGAATCCGTCGCTTGGATATTTTTTGAGGCAAAAATCTTCGCCTTTCAAATTGAGTCGGTGTCCTAGTACATTTTATTCTTAGGAGCGTATCTTCTCGTTTTCAGCAGGTTTCTCTTGACAGTTGCCGCAAGAGAACCACTCGCGATTTCCAAGACGTGAGCGACTGAGTGGGACGACGTTTCTTCTTGAAACTCATTTTTCTGACTTTCTCTCTCTTTCTCCTCAGCAAAGGTATCTCCTTCCCCTTAAGACGAGCCATGTTTCATTTCAAACATAAATGGATGTATTACACCCTCTCGGGTAGATTAAAATTCAAGTCGAGAATTTAATAAGGAGCGCTCTCCTCGCCGTTGTTTTCCTTGTTTACATCTTGCATGCCTCATTATTGCTACGTCATAGTGTCGTCATATTTTAAAGCTTGATGAAAGTGAAGGCGATTTGAAAACGCAAATATCGGGAACGTAAGGACCTTTCAGGCTCAGTTGCCATTCCAAAAAAAATAGTTCAGAGAGTCAAAAAGTTGAAAATTTTCTAGATTATTTGCCTAAAGAGGCATGAAGCTTGCGACATGCTTGGATGCTATTTAATAAGTCAATCAAGTTTAGAGTCTGCTCAAATTAAACACTCTGTGTCCTCCCCCATAGAGATTCACTCTTAATCAATCCAAGTCAAGTTTTTCATAATGTTCAAGCTATT